CTTGAGCTCTCCGAACGTGGAGTTTTTCAGAAGGCCGGGGTTTTGCACGATGACGTACTGCACCGTGATCTCCTCGTCCCTCGTGAGGTTCTCAAACAGCACCACGTACAGCCGCATGTCAAACAGAGGTGCGCCACTGCTGTCCAGCCGCCAGGTGCTCACATACGCGTGCCACAACCACACCTGTGCAGGAGCAAACAGGGCATTGGGGTGGAAACACAGAGGGATGCAATGAATGGGGAGCAAAGCATGAGACCAACAGCACCACGTACAGCCGCATGTCAAACAGCGGTGCGCCGCTGCTGTCCAGGCAGCACCCACTCACGTACGCGTGCCACACCCACACCTGTGCAGCAGCCAACAGCGTTGGGGATGGCAAAGGAACGAGTGATTGAGAAAGTGAGTGCGTGTTTGAGGAAGCACTTAAGGAAATGCGCCTCAAACCCCCTCCCTCCCCCTCCCTCCCTCTCACCTGCTCCAGATTAATGCACTTCTTGAGCTTATAGGCGAAAAGACACGTTCTCAGAGACGACCTGCGAGTACTCATCGCTCCGCTCCACGCCTCATATTGTGCCCCACTCCCCAACCCCTCTCACCTGCTCACCTGCTCCGGATTACTGCACTTCATGGCAAACACCTTCCTTCATGGCGAACCCTGCAGACACCTTCTGAGAGACAAGCTGCGAGTACTCGTCGCTCCACTCCCACGCCTCATATGGTGCCCCATTTCTCAACTCAACCCTCTCAACTGCTCCCACTCTCTCACCTGCTCCCACTCTCTCACCTGCTCCCACTCTCTCACCTGCTCCGGATTGATGCATCTCTTCAGCTTATAGGCGAACGCTTCAGACACCTTCTGAGAGACAAGCTGCGAGTACTCATCCGTCCACGCCTGGATCTTGCTGTTGGCGCACAGCAGGTCAAACTCGTAGAACTGATTGCTCCCCGCACACACACACGCCCCCGGCCCCGTCGGCACCGCTACATCACCCGCAGGCGCCGCTGCTGGCCCACCACCACCGCCACGGCCGCCAGCACGATCACCACCAAGAGCATCAGGAGCCGCATCGGGTGGACCGGCACTGCCAGGAGGGAGTAGCGAGCTGGGAGAAGACGCTTGGGTGAAAGACTCAGCAGTGGCAGAGGCAGCAGCTGCTGCTGCGGCAGTTGGGTCAGAAGGGAAGAGCGGGGCGGTCATGGGGCCTTGCCCGTAGATGCAGTTGGAGGGGGGGTAGGCGTTGAGGAAGGTGGGGCGGTTGATGTACTGCGTGGGGAGGCAGCGCTGGTTGAGGCAGAAGGGCGTGTGGGTCCACTTGCACGAGTTGTTGAACTGGCCGCTGGTGGATGACAGGTTGAGCGGGCTGCCCGTGGCTACGTTACAAATCTGTGGGTTGCCGTAAAGCCTGGTGGGGGTTGGGGGCGGGAAAGGAAGACACAGGTGGAGAGGGGGAGAAGAGGGGGAGGAGGGTGGGGAGAGGGAAAGAGAGGTCGAGCAGGCAGCCTCTGGCCGACTGTGGGTTGCCGAACAGGCTGGTGTGGGGGGAGAAGGGGGAGAAGAGGGGGAGAGAGAGGGGAGGAGGGGGGGTGGATAGATAGCTATGAAGGCGGTTTAGTGGCCGCCCTATCTGTGGCCACGTCGCTGATCTGTGGGTTGTTGTACAGGCTGGTGGGGGTGGGGAGGGGAGGGGAGGGAGAAGTGGGGAGGGGAAGGGAGAGGGAGGCGTTGAGGCAGAAAGATGTGCGAGCCTATCTGCAGGAGTCGTGGAACTGGGAGGTGTTTAGCTGGCCGCTGGTGGACGAGAGGTTGAGGGGTGGGCCTGCCTGCGGAGATGCCACAGATTTGTGGGTTGCCATACAGGGTGGGGGGAAAGGGAGGAAGAAACGGGGTTGAAAGGAGGAGAAGAGGGGGAGGAGGAGGAAGGGGGGGAGAGGGAAAGAGGTTGAGTGGGCGGCCTGTGGCCACGTCACAGACTTGTGGGTTGGCTGGTGGCGGGGGAAAGGGAAGGAAGAAACGAGGGAAAAAAGGGGGGAAGAGGGGGAAGTTGGGTGCTAGTTAGTTAGGAGAAGAGGTTGTGTGTTGCCGTACCGGCTGGTGGGGGGGTTGCGAAAGGGAAGGATGAGACGGGGGGGAGGAGGGAGGGAGGGGGGGGAGAGAAGGGCCACGAGCCGGGTTAGCTGCTGGCTTGGCTCGTCCACTGGCTGGATCGCCACAGCTCGGGGCAAGGCAGTTTGGCTCGGACACTTGCACATTTATTCATGCTTAAAGAAAAGGAGTATACAGTGTTAGAGGACGGCTGTGTGCATGTCCCATCTCAAACGCATGCCCCATTCCAACTTCCAAGGCATGCCCCATTCCAACTTCCAAGGCATGCCTCATTCCAACTTCCAAGGCATGCCCCATTCCAACTTCCAAGGCATGCCCCATTCCGACGCATGCACTTACTCAAGAGTAGCCTTGCCGGCTTTGGAAGTGTTGTCCACAGTCGCCCCCACGGTGCGCAGCGACACCATGTTCAAAGAGGCGGGCGCCTTGGCCATGTTGGGCACCGTCTGATTGGTCAACCAGTTGTTGCCTAGCAGCCTGCAGGCACGCAGGGGGGGTCACAAAGGCATGAGAGTTACCAGGGGGGTTGGGGAGGGGAGAGGGATGAGAGGCAACAGCTGGGTAGACGGGGGTGGGCGCCTTGGCCATGTGGGGCACCGGCTGGTTGGTCAGCCAGTTGTTGCCCAGAAGCCTGCAGGCAGGGGTGGGAAATGCTTGATATCTCTTTGAGATTCTTCTAAATCTCTCGACAGCATGCCCAGGGAGGCGGGTGTCGGGTGACCTTGGCCATGTGGGGCACCGGCTGGTTGGTCAGCCAGTTGTTGCCCAGAAGCCTGCAGGCAGCAAGTGATTCAGGGAGGGGGGTGTGGCAGAGCAGGCGGCAAGGGGCAAGAAGCACCATGATGCGACCGGTACAGGCGTGAGACACAAGCGGCCAGTAGAGGCGTGAGACGCAAGCAAACAAGGGGCCGGAAGAGGAGTGAACGCAACAGGCGAACGGGTTCAGAGGGGGAGAAACTGGAAGATGAAACGGTGTCTTCGGTGTACGGCAAGGCATTTAAATCTGCAGACTTGAGGGGGTGGAGTGGAACCCACCACATGCCTGCTGTTGGACCTTGTTCTTGCAGCATCTCAAAAAGAAAACCACGAAGTTAACCAAACGATTTCGAAGCAGTGCTCGTCTACGAGTCTGCAGGGTTCTTACAGGACACAGAAGTAGAGTCTACAGGGTTCTTACATGCCCTTCAACTCTGGCATCGAGAAGAGGCCTGCTGGCACAGGCGGCCATATTTGATTGTAGCTCAAATCTCTGCAAGTGTTGTGATGGCATGGGTGATACATTGCAATGAATGCAACAAAGAGGGTAAACACATACTGTGTACAGAGAAAAAAAAAGTATATTTGGATCGAAGGAATAAAAATGAGAGGGCATGTTTTCTTAAATTGTTACACAATGTGTATGTTTTTAGGATGTTACACTCACAGGTACTTGAGGTTTCTCAGAGTAGTGATTGCATCAGGCAACGGACCTGAGATGCTGGAACTCCGAATCACCCTGCCAGGGGAGCAGCACATGCAGAAAACCAGCACAAAGAAGTTGTTACATAAGAGGACAGGGGGTGAGTGCAGGAGAGAGGAAAAGGAGTGAGTGCAGGTGAGAGGAAAGTGGGTGGTGGTGAGTGCAGGTGAGAGGAAATGGGATGAGCGCAGATCAGAGAAAAAGGGGTGAGTGCAGGTGAGAGGGAGGGGGGGGGGTGAGTGCAGGTGAGAGGAAAAGAGTGAGAGAAGGCGAGAGGAACAGTGGTGCGTGCAGTAAAATGAATAATAGTGGTTTTAGGTGAGGAAGAAAGTAGGTTAATTTTCAAACCGTAGTACAGGCAGATTGCGACTGACAGGAATTCAAGGCTTTTGAATCTGGAGATGTCGCGAGGCAGGGAGCCAGAGAGTGGCATCTTCAGCAGATTGCTGCACCGCACAGCGCAGGTACACGGCAAGGGGAATGCGGGCAGAGGGGGAAGACGGGCAGAGAGAAAAGGCAGAGAGAGGAGGAAGGCAGGCAGGTGGGAGGAGGCAGGGAGACAATGCACGATCAGCACAATGGATCCCCCAACTCTCTTCCCCCCTTTTCCAGTTTGCTTCATCGTCTGGCCATAGAGAAGACGCGGGGCAGCAAGGACTGGAAGGCTGATAGAAGTTCGATTTAGAGGACTAAATGATGGCAACGCAACGCCCATTGCTTCAACTCGTTGAGTTTATGTTTATCAATGCCTAAGTACTTTTGAATTATCGTACACGATCGTTTGTTGAAAATGGTGGTGTTCCTTTCGCGCAAACTTTGATTCTGGTCTGGTTATTGCAGCACACGAATTTCGCGTTGTCTTTACACGCACATTGCTGTGATGGTGGTGTTGTCTTTACACGCACATAGCTGTGATGGTGGTGTTGTCTTTACACGCACATAGCTGTGATGGTGGTGTTGTCTCTACACGCACATAGCTGTGATGGTGGTGTTGTCTTTACACGCACATTGTTGTGATGGTGGTGTTGTCTTTACACGCACATAGCTGTGATGGTGGTGTTGTCTTTACACGCACATAGCTGTGATGGTGGTGTTGTCTTTACACGCACATTGCTGCGATGGTGGTGTTGCCTTTACACGCACATTGCTGTGATGGTGGTGTTGTCTTTACACGCACATTGCTGTGATGGTGGTGTTGTCTTTACACGCACATTGCTGTGATGGTGGTGTTGTCTTTACACGCACATTGCTGTGATGGTGGTGTTGTCTTTACACGCGCATTGCTGTGATGGTGGTGTTGTCTTTACACGCACATTGCTGTGATGGTGGTGTTGTCTTTACACGTGAAGTTGGTCCACCCAGAGCACAGCAGAGGCGACGACCACACGAGCGCGCTGCTGGGGTCCAGACTGCTACCCAGCAGCGCCAGAGACTCGCCTGCCATGGCCAGGGAGGGGGGAGGAGGGGGGGAAGTTTGAGTCGATTAGAAAAAGGACGGCAGCGGCGACGACCACACGAGTGCACTGCTGGGGTCCAGGCTGCTCCCTAGCACCACGAGAGAAACACCGGCCAGCCATGGTTGGGAAGGAGGTGTGGGGCGCGAAGGGAAGTGGAACGTTGAGAAATGAGGGTGATGGGTTGCAAGAGTGGTCCACGGTCCACCCAGAGCACAGCAGCGGCGACGACCACACGAGCCTGGTGGGGTCCAAACTGCGCTGCGAGAGACACGCCTGCCATGGCCAAGGAAGAAAGGGGGGGGGGGAGGAGGGGAAGTTTGAGTCGACTCAAAAAGGCACAGCAGAGGGGGCGACCACACGAGCGAGCTGGTGGGGAACAGACTGCTGCCCAGCGCCGCGAGAGACACGCCTGCCATAACCATGAGTTGAGAGTGGTTGGGATGTACGTGTGTGGTATGAGGGAAGTGGAGGGTGGGTGAGGTGAGGTCCAGAATGTGGCGTCGTGAGGCGAAAGCCACGCTTGGGAAAAAGAGGATCGCTGAGAGGAAAGGGAGAGAAAGGGGTTCAGACTGGAGGTGGAAAAAAAAAAAAAAAAGTGGAGGGAAGATAGAAAGGAAAATGCGTGCGTGACTATTTGCAACGTGAAAAGTGCGTATATAAGGCAAAAAACTCCTCGGATGTTGAGATGTGACCTGATTCAATGTTGCATCTGCACTGTTGTTCCTTTTGGAGGGTTCCAGCAGTAGAGCTGGAATCTGGCTTTCTCTTCTTCCACGAAACGAAAGAAATCAGCACCTTGCATCTACGCTATAGCAGCCCGCAACCCTAGCTCTCCGTAGCGGTCTTCCCGTCGTTGTTTCTATTCGAGTCATGTATCAAGAAGAGTGGTAAGAGTCGTCAAGACGGCTGACGGAGTCATCACGATGGCTGGCAGAGTGGTCAAGACAGCTGACGGTCTCATAACGATGGCTGACGGAGTCGTCATCGTGGCTAACAGAGCCGTCAAGTCGGCTGAAAAAAACATTCACAGCGGCTGATGGGATGCGCAGACGACTGACGGGGTCAATACGACGGCTGACAGATTCGTCAAGAGAGTTATCCAAGCGTCATGGAGCCTGAAGAGAGCTGGCACCACCACGTCTTCAAACTATGTGCAAACATTTGACACGTGAGAGCCCTTTAAACTTTGAGCTTCTATATCCACATGCTACCGACCGTCTCGTATTCACCTCACACGCTACCGACCGTCTCGTATTCAACTCACACGCTACCGACCCTCTGCTCACATCCCGCTTTCGGAAAGAAGCACGGACGATGCTTCCGGGAAAGCACTCGAAGAATTCCAAAAGCCACGTTCATGGATTTCATATTCGATTATTGACGAGGTTTCTAATTCGACGGGTCGAAACGCGCACAGCACGTTATGGTTTTTTAGTCGGCTTAAGGGTCACCGCATTATTGGTCTCACGTACGGTCGTTAGAGGCCTGAGAGTCGACGGGTCGAAACGAGCACAGCAAGAGCACCACGACAGAGAGAAGCACTTGCGAGCTAGCAGCGGTAAGAAGCTTCCAGAGATGGCACGGTCGCGTCCTTGGCGTGGCGTAGCGTCGGTTTGTCAAGTCGTGCGTTTCTACCGACAACGGTCTTCTGCTTCCGTTATGCCGTTGTCTGATGCGTTTCAATAATTTACAGGAAGGTAATGAAGCTGTGGAAGCTACTAATTCCCGGCTGGGAGTACGGAGATTATTATCGAGCAGAGCCATGGAAACACCTCTAGACGAACGACGGCACGGGACGAGACCTAATGACACAGAAGTCGGCAAGTTACGAAGCGCGAGTCGGCAGACGGATTAGACAAGTTAGGGTTGTGACTACTGGAGCTAAGCTAAGAGTATGTGGGTTGTGTCTGTCCATAGGCTGCCAGCCGACGACGCTCGTCTCCACCACTATCCGTCCCTTATGTGAACGCCGCAGTCAGCACCGATAGCTAATGTCAAGGCTCAGCTACTTATGCGTGCTGCAGTTATCAATAATTGCGCGTGCATCTCCTGCTAAGCCTAACATACATGCCTCTTGTGATTCAGCTATGGCTTGCGGGTATGTCTCGTTTTGTGCAATTCATGTGTCTGCCTTCTACCTTGTGCCTGCCTTAGGAACTCCGTTGACAGAACAGATGCCCTCCGAAACCAAACCACCTTCCGAGCCTGCCGCTCTGTACTGCACAACCATTCTCCGGGCCCTGATTTCAGGACGCGTCACAAGTAAAACGCCGACCCTGCATAGAATCGGTGCTTAAGTGGTTACATAATTTCGTTTATTTTCGTTAGCGTACAGTTGTCCCTTCGGAGTCAGGCGATCGATGTGCCCTTGTCACACATCGATCGTGCAATTTCGTCCACATCGGGCAACTTTGCCCCATGTTTTTACGATCGTGTCACTTGAAACTTGCAGCGGGCCCGCGATTGCAAAAAGCAGCCCTGGCACACCGATATGGCGATCGGTTTGGCAGGTTCGGTGAACAACCCCGACCCTTCCTCGGTATTCTACTTGTGACGCGTCCTCAGCTTTGGCACGCACCCGCGTTGTGGATTCGGGTGTCTGTTCTGGTTTGCGGGAGAATGCCCCGGTGTTCCGTGCCTCGAGCCAGACCAAACCACGCGTCGCTCACCCAACCAGCGCAGGCAACACAACCACCATCTGTGACTGCACGAAGAAGCTTGATGTAACCAGACGTTTGTTCACCGACCGTCACTGTCACCGACAATTATTCAAGACCTCACTAAGGCGTCAGTCACACGTAGGCTAGAACACTTCGCGTAAGATAAGGTTCAAGTGAAGGAAACAATTTTTCCTTACTTCATGTAAGGAATATTCATTGTCCTTACTTCACATTCACACCCCTACTTAGGGCATGTTACATTTTTCCAATTTGACCATCCGGGCTGCTGCCCATCCGGATTATTGTAGGGTTACGTAATTCGTTAGAATCTGTCGTCAAAACATATGCAAGACGAAATTGGTTACCCTACAAGTGTCAGGACAAACAGCCCTTACCGCGTACATGACTGTTCCCGCCAAAAGTACCCAGCAGTAAACCGTTACCACTTGCGACACTCGCCTCGTCTACTGTTCCTGCCACTGTTCACACCGCGACCCAACCTCACAGCTCGGTTGGTAACTCGCACACCGGTCCTCCGCCTTGGCAATTCACAACTTCGGCGCCAAGCCCGTCGCACACCCCACAATTCGCTCGTTACCATTACCACGCTCGCTTGCTATTTGCCATTCGCTCATTCCTTCGCACAATGGATTGTTTTGCTTCGAAAGTGCAATCTTCATTCGCTTACTCAATTGCACTCGTAACACTTGGTATTCATAACCACGACCGTGTCAAACTCATATGGTGCATGTTGTGTAGGCTGTAGTGGGGTAGCCCATATGGGGTACAACCCAATGTTAGGGTTAGTACTTGTACCCATCCTGCTGCTAGTTCATCCATTCTCGTGTTTTTGACATGGTTTCAGAGCAGGTCCTCTCCTATGACCGTTTTCTTTTTAGGACCCACCGAATCGCGCTACCCCACACATCTCGCCGCCCTGTTAGCACCGCGCTGCCCTGCCCTGCCTTGCGTCACGGTGCCCCACGCACGCCCTGTGCTGCGTCGCGCTGCTCACGCACGCCCTGCCCTGCCTTGCCCGCGCGCAGCTCGCCGCCGCGTCGCCTTGCCCGCGCGCCGGTTGCCGCCGCGCGCCCTGTCCTGCCTGAGCGCCGCTCGCCGCGGCGCCGCCTGCCCTGCCTGCACGCCGCGTCGCCCTGCTCGCGCGCCGCTCCTTGTCGCGCGCCCTGCCCGGCCCGCGCACCGCAAGCCGCCGAGCGTCGTGCCCTGCCCGCGCGCCGCTCGCCGCCGCGCCGCCTGCCCTGCTTGCGCGCGGCTCGCTACTGCGCCGCCTGCCCTGCCTGCGCGCCGCTCGCCGTCGTGCGCCCTGCCTGGCCCGCACGCCGCTCGCCGCCGCGCGCCCTGCTCTGCCCGCGCGCCACTCGTCGCCGCGCCGCTTGCCCTGCCTGCGCGCCGCTCGCCGCAGCGCCGCAGCGCCGCAGCCCTGCCCGCGCGCGGCTTGCTGCCGCACGTCACTTGCTGCCGCGCGCACTGCCCTGCTCGCGCACCGCTCGCCGCGCGCCGCCACCCTGCCCGCGCACCGCTCGCTGCCACGCTGCCCTGCCCTGCCCGCGTGCCGCTTGCCGCCGTGCCACCTAACCCTTCCCTGACCGTGCGCCGCCCTGACCTACTCTAATGCCTGCTCGCTGCCTTGTCTTCCCTGCGTGCGGCCGTGCTGGTCGCACACCTCCTTACTTTGCCCGCTATGACGTCTCTTCGTGGTAGCGGTGGGAGTGGTGGCGACGGTGGTGGCGGCAGTGGGAGTGGTGGCGGCGGCCGTAGTGGCGGTCTCGGTGGACTTGTTTGGTGGGGACTTTCTGGCGTTGGCCAGCTGCAGCCCCAACGGCGTCCGCGCAAGACCCTCACACCCCAGCAGCTTCGTGAGTGGTACAGTAGTTGGGGTAGTGGCGGTGGCAGTAGTGGCAGTCGCCATGGAGCTGTTCAAAGGGGAGTTTCTAGCGGTGGCAAGTTGCAGCTGCAGCGGCGTCCACGCGAGACTCTCATGCCCCAGCAGCTTCGTGAGTGGTTCACTCAGCGTTGGGCGTCTCGGAGTAGTGCCCCCTGCCCATGTGTCATTCGCAGAGGTGATCGGGCTGGTCAGACTTGCGGAACAGTTGGTCACGCACAGTCCCGCTGCTTCTCCTGTTTTAGCGACACCTGGCGTGCAGAGTTTGGCAACGCCGCTGAGCTCCCCCGCTGGCTAGAGCTGCTTAGGTAGGGAGTGGATATCTTTGCTAGACTATGACGCTATCCTCATTGCCGTATATGCTTTGACTATTAGTACTCAGGGTGACTGTTACCTGTATGTGCCGCTAAACCCTGG